CAAATACTCTTAGTTTTTCTATGCTGTTTTTCTAAGTTAGACACACTCTTTAAAAATATTTATCCTTTTCTAAAACATTACAGGAAGTTTTACAATAAAAAATCCATAATCCTCATGCAGTACTTTTTTATTTAGTTCTGTCTCCTTCAACCCTCTATCCACATATACTACTCCCCTTGTTTAATTCTTATCATTAAAGTGAAACAAATCACTCAATAAAATTTGAATTCTTCTTTCTCTCTTTTAATATTATTTTAGAATCACTTCCCTATAATGATACAATCTTACTGTGTAAGTGGGAATGCAGAATATTACATAAAATTTGCTATAATATTTTTAGTTAACCATTTAACCCATAAATAGGAATGTCACTTGTTTTCGAATTTGTTTCAGATTTTTCCTGCTATCAGTAAAGATGAAATGACGATCTTTTTATATGTCCTGAGAAGATGACCAAAATATGTTATGATCCAGAAGCTGTGTCTAGAACAGTCTGGCCACCCCTTCTCTCTGTTCCTATATTTATGCTTCTAGTGATGTGCTCTGAGACTCATATTAGATTATTTCTCTTAGATGTATTTACTTTGTTTTATTATTATCAAAGTCCTGTGTATCCTATATATTTTTGCATATACTTAATAAATAGTAACTCAAATACCCATTGCCATCCAGTTAATTCCGACTCATAGAGACCCTATAGGACAGAATAGAACTGCCCCATAGGGTTTTCAGGGCTGTAATCTTTACTGGAGCAGACTGTCACATCTTTCTCCTGCGGAACAGCTGGTGGATTAGAACTACCACCTCTTGGTTAGCAGCTGGGTGCTTAACCACTGCACCACCAAACCTCCAGAATAGTTAATCTAATCCTTATAAAATCTTATGGGGATTATTTGCCTTGTTTTTCAGATAAGGAAATGAGACAGAGAGAGATAAACAGCTTGCCTAAGAGGATATAGCTAGTAAGGGCAGAGCTAGTTTGGGAACCCAGAACATTCGCTCCACTAGAGAGGACTGCCTCTCACAATCACATTCCTGAAGGTCAAAGAGGGACTCTAGCTAGCTGCCTTCCCCAGTAAAAATTGGTTGTTACCAGTAGGACACTGTTTCCTTCATCGGTTATGTTACCCACATAAAAAACAATAGAATGTCAACTAGCATTTTCTGCTATGACATGTAACAGCCTCCTTAGCCATGTTTTGGTTTTTGTCTATAGAACATACTTAGGAAGTAGTTTAAGCTCAGTCCAGCAAAACTTTTGAAGGCATGTTACATGTAAGGTACTTTTAATACAGATCCAGACATGAAGGGCAGTGCACTAAGCCAAATGTCTACCCATGCGCCAGCTCAGTGCCCTACATAGCCTGCTCTATTTGAGTCAAACCCTGGGATGTAAAGGTCTAAAATATCAGAGTATTTAGTCCTGACTGGTTGCAGTTCAACTTTAACCCAACTTTAATCTATAAGAGGACAGAGTGGTCCTAAACCAGGAGCTAGCATTAGGTCCTCAGGATCGAGCTTTTCTGGGATCATCCTGGATGCTGAACACTGAGGTTACCTGGCCCTAAGTGTGTCTCAGGATCAGTTCTGAGCATGCCCTGTTGCAACAACCTCATGTTAATTGTGAAATTGCTGATTATTTTTGTACTGAAAGAGGGTTTTCTCAGGCATGGTATTCTAAGTTTAATGTAGCAAATTCTAGGACAAAATCCAACTTGAAACAGATTGCTGACTATTAAGTAGAGATGCTGATTTAACTGGAACAAAAAAGAAAAACATTTCTGGATCAAAAAAAAAAAAAAAATACTGGAGAAGGAAAGCAGTTAGAGTGAGTGAAAAACATATCTGCTAGAAAGAGCCAAGGCACACAACTTAAGGAGAAAACATCTCCACCCAGCAGGAAACCTAGTTGACTTCAAGAAATATCAAAGAAAAGGAGATGCTGGAAGACTCCTCATTGCATCATCTTAGCTGAGGACTTACAGAAGTTTAGGGCCTGAGGAATCCAGCCCTGGAGGTATTCATATCCTTGGTGACACAATCTGAGTTCCTGTGTGTTTACAGCCTGTGATGGCAACACAGTGACTCAGAGTTCGGATTTTTTTTCCCCCTATCATTTATAGAGTGTCAGTAACACTAAGAGCACTTCGAAGAACAGAAGCTTTGTCCAGGTGTCTCACGCAATTAGATTTGGATTTAGGACAAA